CTTGGCTCAACAGGTACATACCAGGGAAATAATGACGTTTTGTGAAAGTACTCTTTAAACCAACAGGTAATTGATCCCACTAGAAATGAAAATACCATGGATTTGAGGTGAGAGAGAGAGAGAGAGGAGAGAGAGAGAGGAGAGGAGAGAGGAGAGAGGAGGGGAGAGAGAGAGAGGAGAGAGAGAGAGAGAGGAGAGGAGAGAGGAAGGGGAGAGAGAGAGAGAGGAGAAGAGAGAGGAGAGAAGAGAGAGAGGAGAGAGAGGGAGAGAGAGGGGAGAGAGGAGAAGAGAGGAGAGGGAGAGAGAGAGGAGGAGGGAGAGGGGAGGAGAGGAGAGAGAGAAGAGGAGAGAGAGAGAGGAGAGAGAGAGGGGGAGAGAGGGGGAGGAGAGAGAGAGGAGAGAGAGAGGAGAGAGAGAGGGGAGAGAGAGAGAGGAGAGGAGAGAGAGAGGGGAGAGAGAGGAGAGAGAGAGGAGAGAGAGAGGAGAGAGAGAGAGAGGGGAGAGAGGAGAGAGGGGAGAGGAGAGGAGGGGAGAGGAGAGAGAGGAGAGAGAGGAGAGAGGGGAGAGGGGAGAGAGGGGAAGAGAGGAGGGGAGAGAGAGAGAGAGAGAAGGAGAGAGAGGGAGGGGAGAGGAGAGAGGGAGAGAGAGGGGAGAGGGGAAAGAGAGAGAGAGAGAGGAGAGAGAGAGAGAGGAGAAAGAGAGAGGAGAGAGAGAGAGGAGAGAGGGGAGACGAGGAGAGAGAGAGAGAGAGAGAGAGAAGAGAGAGAGAGAGAGAGAGAGAGAGAGAAAAGAGAGAGAGAGGAGAGAGGGGAGAGAGAGAGAGAGAGAAAAGGAGGGAGAGGGGAGGAAAAGAAAGGAGAGAAAGGAGAGGAGAGAAAGGAGAAAAGACAGAGAGAGGAGAGAGAGAAGAGAGAGAGAGAGAGAAGAGAGAGAGAGAGAGAGAGAGAGAGAGAGAGAAGAGAGAGAGAGAGAGAGAGAGAGAGGAGAGGAGAGGAGAGAGAGGAGAGAGGGAGAGAGAGAGGGGAGAGAGAGAGGAGGAAGAGAAAAGGAGAGAGAGAGGAGAAGGAGAGAGGAGAGAGAGGAGAGAGAGGAAGAGAGAGAGGGGAGAGGAAAGAGAGGGGGAGGAGAGAGGGGAAAGGAGGAGAGAGAGAGGAGAGAGAGCGAGGAGAGGGAGAGAGAGAAAGAGAGAGAGAGAGGAGAGGAGGAGAGAGGAGAGAGAAGGAGAGAGGAGAAAGAGAGAGAGAGAGAGAAGAGAGAGGAGAAGAGAAGGAAGAGAGGGAGAGAGAAAAGGGGAAAAGGGAGAGAGAGGGGAGAGAGAGGAAAAAGAGAAGAGAGAAGAGAGAAGAGAAAAGGGGGAGGGAAAGGAGAGAGAGAGAGAGAGAGGAGAAAGGAAGAGAGGGGAGAGAGAGGGGAGAGAGAGAGAGAGGGGGGAGGGGGAGGGGGAGTGGTTTTTTTGACTGGCTTGTTGATTTCCCTTTTCTTTTCTTCTCTCCCCCTTGCCCGTTGAGTGTCGGCGGGCTTCCCCCACTGTCCCCCCTAGCTACTTGGGTTGTCTGCCCCACAAGGTGTTTTTACACACAAAAGATTTCCCAACAGAATGAGGGAAAAAAAGGGGTCCCCCCACCACAACCTGGCTATGGAAAAGAAGTAATTGGCCACCTTTTTGCTCGAGCCGCCACCCCGTTTGGAATGCTCTTCCCAAGGGGGTTTGACAACCAAGTAAAAGCCTTCACGGGGACACACCTTAACAAAACAAGAAACTTTCCCTCACCAAAATATGTGACAAAGCCACAACAGCCTTGAGGCTTCTTTGTCGAGAGGCTGCTACTGCAATAAAAAGCATGGCGAAGGTATAAGAACATCTTCCCACCTACAACGGGAACTTGCCACGCAAGCCTGTAGGCAATGGGTGACTTAAAAAGGGGCCATTGCTAAAGGGGAGGTGGACACAAAAGAAAGCTACATCGGGTGGGGACCCCAAAAACCGGGTTCCCTGGTCAAAGACAGACAAGGTTACTGCCTGTACCCCTCAAAAAAAGGGGGGCCCCCCCCTTATTAAAAGGGAACCCCTTTTTCAAAAAGGTTCCTGATCTAGCAAGGGACCCCCCTTGGCTGCTTTCAAAAACTGTCAAAATGTCATGGGACAATAAGCAGGGGGAGGTGCATTTCCTTCTTAAATCGCTGACCAAGAAAAGCTGTGGGCCCCCGACAAGTTTAAACCCAGTTCCCGAATGTTCAAACCCGTCAGACGTCAACTTGATCTTTCAGCACTGCCTAGTCAGTTAAAGGCCCTCTTAGGAAAGAGGCAAAAATTTGTCCCTGTTCCAAAAAGAAAAGCAGAGCAGAAATCACAACTACAGACCAGGTCACTCCTGTCAATCCTGGTAAGATCCCTTTAGACAAAATTTGAGACAAATGACAGTTTTTTGACTTCCACTCACTACTTTGTGATCGTCAATATGGCTTCAGGAAAGGTTACTCTGCTGCTGATCTGTTGTTAAACCTCTCCACTAAGTGGCACCAGTCACTGGATGAATCCAAAGTCAGCTGTGTGGTAGCACTGGACATTGCTGGTGCTTTCGACCGGGTGTGGCACCAGGGCCTCTTAGCAAAACTTCAAGCACTGGGAATTGCAGGCTCTACGCTATGTCTCCTTGGTGATTACCTTCATGGTAGATCTCTAACTGTAGTTCTCAATGGAACAGAATCAGCAAGACATCCTACTGGGGCAAGTGTTCCACAAGGAAGCGTGCTGGGACCATTGTTATGAAATGTCTACTTCAACGACCTTCTTCATCTCATCCCAGAATCCCATACATATGCAGATGACTGTACACTGACATTCACTTATCCAAGAGAAGAAATGCCAGCTGCTCTATGCTACATCAATCACCAGCTAAGAGCTATATCAGCTTGGGGAAATAGATGGCAAGTAACATTTGCACCTGATAAAACGCAAATGATGATGGTCTCTAGGCACCATGATGGTAATGCTGGTGCAGTA